TCGGTTATTTTATTTTGGTCCTGGTAATATGAACTATTTGTGTTTCAAGTATGTGAGGTGTTATTGAGGTATATTTTATGTTCAGCTACTCATTTAGCAAAACTAAGAGTTAGGGTTTATGTTATATGCCCAAAGCTAGGTTTGCTAGTGGAACTTGCACATTTACATTTTTGCTGAGGTTGTTTAATCTGTCAGGTTATAGAGCCAGCATGCAATTGACCTTTATAAACTGAATCATAAGCTTTTATTCTGTTCCTGTTGTGGCTTACCACAACAGAGTCCCTCTCCAGGGCAGCAAGCATTCTCCTTCATGTTCTATGCTGGGGTGTCTGTCATCTCCAGATGGAGGCAGGGGAAGGTCCCAGGACATTGACAGGGGTGTATATATGTAGGGCAAAGATCATCCTGTATCAAATAATAGGTTACTGTGCCACACCGTTTCCCAAGCCATCTGTATCCTCTGTCTTTCACTCAGAGGGACTTCTGTTTTTAATTTCTACTTGATACCCTGTCCTGTTAGGCAGACCCTCTCTGGGGCAGGGAAATGGAAGAGAATAGAAAATGGCATTTATTAACTGGTTCCTACTCACCTCCCTGCTGGGTGTTTACATGCTTCTTAGCAGAAAGAACGCTACATTGCGCTCTGCAAGGTCGCAGATCTTAAGGTCAGATTGCAAAAGGCAGTTCAGCAACACTTCTCAGCAGCCAGACTATAAGCACTTGTTAAGAACAGAAAATGACAGCATCAGCCCAGGATGTTAGTGGGTGTACCTGTTCTGGACAACTGAGTCTCATAATCCTCCACGGTGAAATGAAGTCTGACCCCAGGACCAGGAAGAGTCTTTTCTATCACTTCAATTTCACTTCTGCCCTCTTTTGCAGATGAAAAAGACCACTTTTGTAGATGAAAGAACAGCTCAAATTCTGCAGTCAAGCCTGTGCTTCTGCTGAAATCACTGTTAAGAGTGACAGCTGCAGTAATGAATTTCAATATGAAGATTATATGAGCATCCCCCCCATTCCCCAAAGAATTGGCCAAGACTGTCATGCATTTCACACAGGCTTCTTTCAGGCATCAGGTAGCACCTGCTTTTGGTCATTAGTGGCTTGGACTGATACTGAAATATTGAGTATTCCTAAAGATTACAAATCCATCATCAACTGGATCTGAGCAGCTACTTCAATGCTTCCCAGTTCAAGTAGTATTTGCAAAAAGGTACCCTGGCCTTTAGGTTTTTAATAACAGCAGTTTGTACTTATAGGAGGGGTTCAAGGACAAAAGAAACTGCCAGGTGTGGAAGGGGATTGATTCAGGGACCTCTTGAGGAATCTCAATCCACGTAAGTCCGTGGGACCAGACGGGCTGCACCCAAGGGTACTAAGAGAGCTGGCTGTTGTCATTGTGAGGCTGCTTGCTATCATCTTTGAAAGGTCATGGAGACTAGGGAGGTCTTCCATGACTGGAGAAAGGCAGATGATGCACCCATCTTCAGAAAGGGCAAGAAGGACAGTCTAGGGAACTACAGAACAAGGATAGAGTGAGCAATCTTAGAAGTAATTTCTGGGGACGTGAAGGAGAAGGTGGTGATTAGGAATAGCCAGCATGGATTTACAAGGGTAAATCATGCCAGACCAACCTAATGGCCTCCTGTGATGAGATGGCTTCATATGTGGATGAGGGGAAGGCAGAGGATGTTGTCTACTTTGAGTTTAGCGAGGCTTTCCATGTAGTCTCCCACTGACTCCTTGTATCCAATTTCAGATGGTCCAGTCTAGATAGGCAAAAAAAATTACTGGATCACTGGTCAAAAGGGCTCATGCTCTCTCCAGCGGCTGGTTACAGTGGAGTTCCTCAGGGATCTGTCCTATCTGGTATCTTTATCAATGACCTGGAGGTAAGAGACAGGATGCAGTACTATGAGGTCTGAGGACTGATGATACTAAATGGAGGGTATAGTTAAAGAATCATAGAATCATTTAGGTTGCAAAAGACCCTTAAGATCATTGAGTCCAACCGTAAACCCAGCACTGCCAGGTCCACCACTAAACCATGTCCCTAAGTGCCACGTATACACATCTTTTAAATACCTCCAGGGATGGTGACTCAACCATCCATACAGTTGCTATGCTTGAGATCAGGCCTGCCATTCGGAGGGACTTACACTTGCTAGAGGACTAGGACAACAGGAACCTCATGAAATTCAGTGAGGACAGAGTCCTTTATCTCAGATGGACTACCCCCCTGCGTAGGCCAGGGCATGACTGGCTTGGTAGCAGCTCTACTGAAAAGGACATGGGAGGCTTGGGCTAGGCTGAGTTTGCCACTGAGTTTGTCAGTGGCAAACTCTGGCAGCAGTGAAACTGCATCAGACTGTATCAACAGGGGCACAGATGGCAGATCAAGGGAATTATTTCCTTTTACTCAGCACTGATTAGACCACAGCCGGCATAGTGGGTTCAGTCTTGACTCTCCCAGTACATGAAAGCTGTTGATAAACTTGTATGACTGCACTGGAGGGCCAACAGGATGGCTGGGGGTTGAAGCATGAGACTGGTGAGGAGAGGCTGAGGCATTGTTCAGCCTATGGAAGAGAACAGCAACTTCCCAGTTCCTAGGAGGTTACCGAGAAGATAGGGCTGGGCTGTCTGCCAAAGAATGAGAGACGAAGGTTATAAACGAACAGGGGAGGCTCTGGCTAGACAGAAGGAAAAAAAATTGACACTATGGGGATAATTAGGTAGTGGAATAGATTATCCAGAGGGGTTGTGCAGTCTCCACATGGAGGATTTTAAGACCTGACTGGACAAAGCCATAAGCAACCTGGGACCTCCCAAAGTCCCTTCCACTCCGAATTATGTCATGATAACTCTAAGGATGGATCTTCTCCATCTTCTCTGTAGAATTTCCTCCATGTAATACAGTTCGTATCAGTCTATGGATTTAAAGTCAGTGCATATGCTGCTATTCACCCCACAGACCGGGAAAATGACATAAAAAGTTGCCCCCCTAGTTTTAACTAAACAAGATTGAAGACAATTTGAGCAAAAACATCACTAGACGGGATGCGACAACATTTTTTTATTGTTTTAATACGAGTGAATAGATTAAGAGATCTGATATGTTGTAAAGCAATATACATACTGAATAAATAATATGCACAGGAGAGTCATGTCTACATTGTAACACTGGCTAGTATTCAGAATACTTAAAATAAATCCAGTGACATTGGATAAAGTCCATAAAAATGCTATCCTGTCTTCCCTTGTATGAAATTGTTCAAGTATAAAAAAATCCAATACAGTGTAAAATATCAAATTCCATTTCGGTCAAGAATAAAAATTGCAAGTATTGTAGTTTCACAGGACAATGTAAAGCAGCATTTTCTAGCAAAGGGAAAAATAGTCAGTCTACATACAGATGAGTGGGAAAACGGCACTAATGTATTTAAGAGGTCTACATGAAAAAACTAGTAGAGGGAAAAAGAATGAACTAGCAATATTTTATGTAAAAACCTAAAAAAGTGTTAATTTAAAAGTACCCTCATACAGTGCACATACTGAATTTAAATAAATCCAAGTCAACATCCTTAGTTAATTAGGTTAATATTTAATATGCTACATCTAAGCCTACTAAATAATTTATGCCATGAGATGAATACATAATTTTACAGTGTCACATCTAAAGTTGCTTTCTTTAGAGTGCAGCATAGTAAAACTTTCAAAATAAATATTTCTTTTTAAATAGCATAACAATTAAGGCACAGTATAAATCACATACCATTAACCCTTCAAGAACAGCAGTCTTGGTAACAAAAGTTGCCTTGTGTACTGTATGTTTGCTAATAAATATTTTAAATATAATCCTGAAATAGATATTAAAATTGTACAAATGGTTTCAGAAAAGAAAATTCCCTTAAAACAGTTCTTAAAGGTTTTAATTCATTAAGCTTCTTCCTGCCTTTATTCACAAGTTACGAATAGATGCAATAAATAGAAAGAGAAGGCTGTTGTAGTAAAGGGCTGATCCTATTTTAGAATCAGAATAGCTGACACCAGCAGTTGAAGTTTCCCAAAAGTGAAACAGGATGGGGCGAGGGATTAGGATGTGACAAGCTCATCACATGAGCACGAGTGATGTGTTCTGTCCAGAACTGTCTGTGTTATTGATTGTCTCTACAGCTGTTGCACCCTTTACTTCCACATCACTTGCTCCATAGTTCCACTCATCCAGAGGACAGAGAAGAAAATAACTTTGGTGCCTGTCCGCCATCTTACTAGCCGGCCATCTTCCTTGGGTTGTTCGATGCCCGTTAGTGAGACAGTGAGAAGGTACTATCTCATGAAGACAACTTCTGAAAGCTAGAAAGGACAATCAGTGCTTTAAGCTTGTTTCCTCTTAAAATGAATAAAGATTACATATTGCTGACTCAGTTTTTTCCCTGGTTCAAACTTTTCAAATACCATTTTCATACTTATAAAAGGCAGTTTTGCTTCCCTGATACTGTAAAAAGTACACCTTTGCTTTTTTTGGTTCTTGTTTGTTTGTTTGTTTGTTTCTTTGTTTGAAAATATGAAGTCCCATTGCTACTCCTGCCACTCTTTCATGACAGTACAGTATTTTTTTTCCCATTTTCTTCTGGCTTGATACTTGAAACTAGACATGCCGCACTACCCCTCCCCTCTAACAACATGATTTGGATGCATACTGTATGAAGACAGTGGAATAAAAATCTTTAGTTTCGCAATAGCATCGCTTTCCTTAAAGCTCCTTAGTTAATATCAATTGTCTCTGATTAACTACTTATACTGGAAGGCTGAAAAGAGGAAGAGGAAGAAAGAGCTTCTTTCAGGAGTCCATCTGCTATTGCATACGGTCTGTCTGCAGCTGTTGGGGCTGGTACTGCAC